ATGGGGCAAGGAAAATCCTGAATGGGAATAGGAAGGAGAATGGGGATGGGAACAGGAATGGGACAGGGAAAATCCCAAATGGGAACGGGAATGGGACAGGGAAAATCCTGAATGGGAATAGGAAGGAGAATGGGAATGGGAACAGGAATGGGACAGGGAAAATCCCAAATGGGAACGGGAATGGGACAGGGAAAATCCTAACTAGGAATGGGAAGGAGAATGGGGATGGGAACAGGAATGGGACAGGGAAAATCCTGACTAGGAATGGGAACAGGAATGGGAAAATCCCTCATGGGACTGGGAATGGGACTGGGAAAATTCCGAGCTGTGCCCAGCCCCTGCTCCCGAGCGTTCCTGGCCGCTCCGGCATTCCCGGGCTCTGATCCCGATCCCGCTTTTCCGCAGGCTCCCTCCTACCATGGCCACCAACCTGTCGGTGCCCTTGGCCTTCGTCTGCCTCCTGCACCTGGCCAACGAGAAGGTGAGAGCTGGGAGCCATTCCCAGCTATCCCGGGAATTCCAGGGAATGCAGCTCAACCCCAACTATCCTGGGAATTCCATGGAATGCAGCTTATTCCATCCATCCATCCCAGTTTTTCCATGGAATGCAGCTCATTTCCAGTCTGTCCTGGGTATTCCATGGAATACACCTCGTTCCCATCAATCCCAGTTTTTCCAGGGCATGGGAACATTCCCAGCTCATGCAGGGTTTGTCCCTCAGACCCATCCAGAGCATTCCAGACTCTGGATAAGGGAGCAGAATCCCAAAATCCCAGAATTTCTGAGGCTGGAAAAACTCTCCAAGGTCACAACGTGCCCATTCCTTGCCCAATCCACATCGGGATTCCTTCCGCATCCAGGAATTCCTTGGAATTCCACCAAACCCCCCTGGGGGCCCCTTTCCAATGAGGAAATTCCTGCTCCGTCCCAATTCCCTGGAAAAGCCCCCAGCAGGGCAGGAAGGGCTGGGATTGTTCCCGAGGCTCATCCCAGGGGGTTTTATCCCAAAGCTTTTCCTTCCCATTCCCAGAATTTGAAGCTGGAGAGCACCGAGGACCTGTCGGATATCCTGGTGAGAGCAGGAGACTGACTCCATCCAGCAGGGAATGCTGAGAGTTCCCAGATCCCAAATCCCTCGGGAAGGACATTCAGGGATGTCCTGGCTGGGCAGATCCAGCCAGGATCCAGCAGCTTTTCCCTGGGATTGGGAATTCCTGCACTTCACTGTGAACCCAGGCTGCTCTGTGTCCCAGAATTTCCTCTCTGTATCCCAAAATTTCCTCTGTCTGTGTCCCAAATTTCCTGTATTCCAAAATCTCCTCTGTGTCCCAAAATTCCCTCTGTGTGTCCCAGAATTCCCTCCCCGTGTCCTTCCCAGTCTGTAATTCCCAGTTTTTGGACTGACTGTTACTCCTGGTGCCCGTTCCCTCATTCCCTGGGATTATTCCTGGTTTTGTACTGTTATTAGGGATAATAAATTCTGCACACTTTGGAGAGGGGCCCGCGAGGAATAACCCCGGAGTGGGGTGGGGCAGCAAATGGGGACAAATCCCTAAAAAAAGGGAATGCAGGGATCAGAGCCTGGAGCAGCAGCTGGGAATGGGATCCAGGAGCTGAATTCTGGGATTGGGATCAGTTCTGGGATGGGGAGAGGATCTTTCTGGGAATGGGGTCCCCAGGGGAGGGGTCTCTTCCTGCTGAAACCCCTGGAATTCTCCTCCAGCCTTTCCTGGGATAAAGATCCCCAGGGGAGGGGTCTCTTCCTGCTGAAACCCCTGGAATTCTGCTTTTCCCGGGGCCGGAGCTCCTTTGGGAACATCCAGAGCCGCAGTTCCCGACCCGCCGGGCTCTTCCCGGGGCTCGGGAATTCCGCCGGCACCTCCCGCTCCTGCTCCGGGAATGCGGAGCCGCTCCCGGCGCTCCGCGGGGATTCCAGCGGGGATGTGCGGCCCTTCCCTCGCTCCTCCCGGGCTGCTGCTCCCGGCTTTGGAATTCCAGAGGCTGCTGCTCCCGGCTTTGGAATTCCAGAGGCTGCTGCTTCGGGGATGATTTTCCAGGAATTGATGCTCCAGGCAATGATATTCTAGGAGCAGCTGCTCCAGGAATTGTTGTTCCAGGGGTTGATAATCCAGAGGCTGCTGCTCCAGCGTTGTTATTCCAGGGGTTGTTATTCCAGGGGTCGATATTCCAGGGGATCCCGGGCAGAGCTGAAGCTCCGGGAGTTGCGGGCAGGGCTGGAGCGATCCCGCGGCATTTCGGGATTTTCCACCCTCGGAGTTGTGGGGTCGGGGCGGTCCCGCCCAGGGGTGCTCAGCTGGCCCCGGCACGCTGAAACCCGAGCTGTTCCTAAAATCCCTTTATTTATTCCTAAAATCCCTTTATTTATTCCTGAACTCCATCCCAGCGCCGATGGAGATGGGAAGGCTGCACCGGGAGCGAGGGGAAACTGAGGCAGGGCCCCTCGTTCGCGCAGCTCCGGACAAAACCCGGGAATAAAACCCCGCGCGGGGTTTTTGCTGGTTGTTTTCGGCCGTTCTCGCTAAATCCCGGGTTTCTCGCGGGGAGCGGGGCTCGGTGCCGCCCGCGGCTCCTCCGGCGCTTCCTGCCCGGGAGGGGCGGCAGGAGCCCGGTGCCCCCCCCGCCTTCCCCCCGCTGCTGCTTCTCGGGCTTTTGGCCCAAAATGAGTCACCGGCGGATTTTTTTTTTTCTTTTTCTCTCATTTTTCGGGACTCTCAGCAGCCGAAGCGGGGAGGGATCCTCGGGGGGCTGAGCCCCGGCTCTCCCCGGCGGGGCAGCGGCTCCGGTGCCGCGGGACGGGGACTGGCGGTGCCGGGACACCGGACCGCCGGGGAGCCCCGGGAAGGGAGCGGAGCCCGGAGCATCGCGCCGTGTCCCCGCCGTGTCCCCGCCCTCGGGGCGGCTCCGGGAGCGGGGAAGTCCGGCCCAGTCATTCGGGCCGCGGGGGGAGAAGCCCCAAAGGCGCCGCCGTTCCGGTAAGGAAAGAGTCAATGGCCGCGGCTCGCCCCGCTCCCGCTCCACGCCACTTCCCCGAGCGGGGCTGACTCAGCCCGGGCTCGGTCCCGCTCCGCGACACCCGCGCACCCGGAGCCCGCCCCGAGCCGCCGCCGGTGAGTCCGGGGGTCCCGGGGGTCCCGGAGCCCGCCCCGAGCCTCCGCCGGTGAGTCCGGGGGTCCCGGGGGGTCCCGGGGGGTCCCGGGGGTCCCGGAGCCGCCGCGTCCCGAGCGGGACCGGCCGGGAGCCCCGAAATCCCGAGCGCAGCCGGAGCCCTGCGGGGTCCCGGAGCCGCCCCGGGGATGCCGGGCGGGTTCGGGCGGACCGGCGGGACGGGACGGGGACGGGACGGTGACTTCAGCCCGTGGCTCAGCCGCCGGCACGGCCTGGCGGCGCTCCCGCGCCGTTCCGGGCCGTGACGCTCCAGCCCCGCCGGCCCGGCCCGGCCCCCGGGATTCGGGGAGCGGCCCCGGGCCCGCGGCGCTGGGGAGCGGGGCGGGATCCGGGATGGGCTGGGAAAGCGCCGGAGCGCCCGTCATCACTGTTGCGATAATGACGGTCGGTAGCTCATTAAGGGTGTAATTAGAGCCCGGTGCCGCCCCCAGCCCCGGTACCGGCGGGTCGGGGGTTGCGGGGGGTGCTGGCACCGGCGGGGCTCGTTCGGCCCCGAACCGGGCGCGTTTTGCCCCAAAAGCCGCGCGGTTTCTGCGCTCGGAGCGCCGCCGGGAAGGGAGGAAATCGCGTCAGCGGTGCCGGGAACCGAACCGGGGGCGGGACACGGCGGGGACACCGGCACCGGCACCCACAGGGGTGGGACACCTGCACCTGCTGAACACCTGTGGGTGTCACCTGCACCTGATAAACACCTGTGGGTGCGTGGGACACCTGTAACTGCACACCTGTGTGTGTGACCTGTAGCTCCACACACCCCTGTGTGTGTCTATGTGTGTGACACCTGTACCTGATAAACTGATAAACACCTGTGTGTGTGACCTGTACCAGCTGCACACCTGTACCAGCTGCACACCTCTGTGTGTGTGTGTGCGTGTGTCACCTGTACCAGCCGCACACCTGTACCTGCACACACCTCTGTGTGTGTGTG